CTCTCTCTCTCTCTCTCTCTCTCTCTCTGTCTCCCTCTCTGTCTCTCTCTCTCCAGTTCTCTTCGTCTGCCCCCTCCCCAATTTTCTACTCTCCCCTTGTTTTTCCCCCTCCTCTTCTCTTGTTCTTTGGAATCTGGCTGCTTCTGTCACGGAAATTCCCGCTGATGCGCTTGCGGACACGCACACTCACACACTCACACTCACACACGCACGCGCGCGCACACACACACACTGACATACTTGGAGGGAACAAGCCCTGGAGGACTCTGTGCCGGGTGATTGGCTCCCTGTGGCTCCTCCTCCCCCTTCCTCTTTCCATGCTGCCCTGAGAGTGTCAGAGACAGACCGAGTCAAGAGGGTCTGACTGGGAAAAGGGAGAGATACCTGAGCCCTTTACGCCTTCGTGCCGCCCACCTCAGCCTGAACAGCAGCTTGGCCAGACCTTGGTCTCCTCTGGGGGATGTTCTAGCCTATCGGTCCTGCAGCAGAGCTTCCCAGGGAGCTGGTGCTCCCTCTCTGGGCTCAGCTGGGAGTTCAGGTAGACTCCTTTGATGGATAAGGGAAGGAACCCACACCCCTCTGTCTTGCATGGCCGTGGGCCCAGATGACTGCCAGGGCCTCCCCAGTCCATCCCTGGGGCAGCTGCTGTGCTGCAGCGGCCCTTGGATCTTGCCATTATTCTCTAGCCAGAGCTTCAACCTGCCTGAGGGACTCAGAGGCTCACTGGACTTCCCTAGGGCATCCCCACAGGCAGGAGAGGCTGACCCCTAGTGCTCCTGGCTGGACAGGCCTGCCTGTCCACAGCCACCCTTAGGAGCAGCCTCGGCACCCCTGCAGGGCTGGAGTTCCAGCTGTGGCCTTCTGTCAGCACTGAAGTCCACGAGCATGCCCACTCAGGGTTTGGTGAGGCAGCAAGCTCGAGTTTGTGAGAAACCTGAATGACATAACATACCAGAGCTCTTCAGACAGTGGGGAGGACAGTGGCTGGCATGGCTTGCCTGAGGTCAGAGTCACTGGACAGACCAGGTCTCAGCCTCTGCTTGGGAAATTGGGCAGGGACCCTGGTAGGGTGTTGGTAGACAGACAGCAACTCTCAGAGCCCAGCAGCCCCCTTTCCTTCAGAGGAAGGAAAGATGATGCCTCCTCCTCTAGATCACTTCTCTAGTGACCACCTGCACCTTATTAGCAACCTTGAGCTCCTGTCCTGAGCACATACAGCTCTGTCCTGGTGTCTTGTGGTGCCTGTACACAACCAAGGGTCAATCCACTGGATTGAATAAGCGAAATAAGGACATTGTCCCTAAGGGAGCTGTTGGATCTCCCACTGGAAGGCAGAGGTCTCATGGCAGTTATCTCTCTGCACTTAGCACAAGTGCATTTTACACGCTCATGAAATGATGGTGATGTTCTCCCCTGCACTTCCACAGGTGATGCTCATTAACAGTTACTTGAGTGAAGGACAATGTATATGGCAGAGGGCTGGAGCCAAGTTGTATTGGCTCACAGGGAAACTTCCTGGGCATTTTTCCCCTGCCCCACTTCAGAGTCACCACACTGCCAGCTTGAAATCTGCCATGCCAGGGGAATTTATACCTAGACATCAGCAAGTACCACAAATCAAGGCTTCCTCCCCTCTAAGCTTGTCATTAAGCATTTCCAAGCATACCACTCACCGACTCTACAGGACCCTGGGCAAGTTCCTTAACTGCTCTGAGTCTCAGCTCCCTCATCTAGCTTTCAGAGCTGTGGTGAGCAGTATACAGAACAATGTGTGGAGCTTTGCTTCCCAGAGGAGGAAACAGCAGAATGCTAGCTCTTTCTTCAAACCATTGGCCCCTTGTGTGGCCTGAATCCTTTCAGGGTTAGGTATCTTCACTAGATACTTGATATTATGGCATCAGAGTGAGATGTTCATTTGTGTGTCTCCCTTGCTCCCAAAGACTGTGGCCCTCCCCTCCACAGTTAGATAGGTGCTGGAATTAGATGCTCAAGCATTATTTGTGGAGTAAGGGTGTCATTCAATATATTTGGGGACATCATTTGATCCTTGATCCTTAAGAACCCAACTCACTGACCAGGGATAACAAGGCCTTGTGTGTGCCTGCCTAAGAAACACACCGTGGCCAGGTCTGCACAGTATGCTTCTTGGAGCTGGAGAGAAGTCAGCAGTGATGGAATGTTGGTGACAGCATTAACATGAGTCATTAAATGCTGTAACTGAGCGCTGAGCAAGACTTAACAACAGGAAGACATGGAGGCACATGTCATTGTCGATCCTTGTGGCAACTCTCCAGTGTAAATAGCATGACTCCTTCTTGACAAATGAAGGAGATGATACCCTGTAAGTCCAATAGTTTGTCTGTTCAAGGGCACTCCAAGTAGGCATCAACAGATGCAATAAAGTGAATTGATTTCAAATCCACATCAACTGGACATTAAAGCCCACATTTTCCCACTGTGCCACTGTTGTTATTGCACACATGTGCTCACACACACACACACACACACACACACACACGTACCAACAAGTTTGGTAACTGCAGAGGTCTTTTCTATAGCTTTCTTTAGAAAGAGATGAAATATTGATATAAACTCAACAGGAACTAGAATGGCACCAGTGGCCAAGAGAGGTCTCATAGAAGTGCTGTGGATACAGAGAGCACACACCTTTGGGGAGTCAAAGGGATCTGGACCTGCAAGTTGAGATGTGAGCCCAGATATCTGACATTCCATGTGGAAGGAGGTGCCAGAATGTATACCTAAGGCCCAAAGCCTGGTACCTCACAGAGTTGTGGTTCTGCAGCAGAAGATGGACCTGCAGGAAGAAGGGTGGCAGCAAGCCCAGAGTACACAGGTCAGGCCCATGGGGATAATGGCTCCTATGACCTGGAGCATCCAGAAGCATTCATCTGGATGGCACATCCCTCCCTGCCAGCCTCACCGTGTGGGCCCAACAGCTGCTTTCAGTTTTCAAAGCATTTATACAACTGTTGCCTCATATAATCCCTATAAAACCTAGAGCTCCTGTTGTATAGATAAGGACACTGAGACTCTGGTGGGGATTTGTTGTTGTTGTTGTTGTTCTCTGCATAGGAATGTGTGGTTGGTTAGAGGATGACCAGTCCTGACTTACTACTCAGTGGTCTCCCTGCTCCACTATCAGATCAGGCTGGTGGTCTCTCCCAAGACAGGCTGTTTATGAACACCACCCTGGCCCAGCCCTCAAGCTGAGTAAGAATCAATTTAATAGTTCTTCAGCAGGCTACCAAATTTCTGGCTCACTTGTCCATTATCAGAGAGAAAAACTGACTCACTAGACAGATCCTTGGCCACTCCTGAATCTCTGTGTCTATTCCTACCCCTACAGGCCAAGCCAGGAAAGGTGGAAGAGGAAGCCAGCTGCCTGGCAGTTTCAGCTGGCAATCTCCTAGAGAATCTGAATCCCCTCTGTCTGATGGCACTCAGAATGCAAGGCAACATTTATCAAGACTTGCTAAAAGCCAGACACTCTACCAGCCTTATTTAATTTCCATGGCACTCATATACAAGAGACAGTGCAATTGTCACCATCAAACAGAAAAGGAAACAAGTTCAAAGAGGTTAATTAGCAACCTGGGGGCCCAGAGCTGGTGAGAGAAATGAGGTGGACCCAGACCTATGTGTGTAATCACTGACTCTATTCTGATGCCACATTTAGTTCCCCAACTACTCCTAATGAAGCCCAATTAACAACCACCCCCACTCTTCCCTCCTCCACTTCTCTTCTCAAACTAGATGCTTGGGCTGGAAGCAACTAGCAAGGGAATACAGAAACTCAGTGACTCTCTAAGAGCACTGTGGCCCAGACCTTCTGCTAAGCACTTCAAGTTCATCTCCCCACTTATGGTTTGTGCTATAATGGATACCAGCCAATTTGTGGATTATTTGTCATAGACTTGTAGCAAACCAACTTGCCCATGGTCTGTCAGATACTCTGGTTCAGATCTGAGATGAAAATACAGATCTTCCCCTCTAGTCCAGGGCTGTGTCTCCTGTACCGCAATTGCCCTGGAGCTAATTAAAGGGAAAGAATTGCTATCCAGCTAAAGTCTACCTGGGGCAGATGTGGAGCTATTTCTCTCCACTGAATTCACTGAATTGCCTTAGAAATCCATTAAACCTGCTGGTGGCAGGGCAGCTTCTTTATTTGCAACTCAGACTGGCTCCAGGACCAGAGGAGTGTGTAACTGATCTTCCTGAGTATTACACTGAGGCACTGAACCAGTTCACAAAACAGCAGCTTCTCTGGGTTTGTGCTGACTTCTAAAGATGTCTGGCTTTGTTCATTTCCTGTCACTGGGCTGCAGTGGGGTCAGTGAAGCTTGTCCACAGTGGGGTCAGGATGAGAGCTGCCATGAAAAGTCATTTCTTCTAGTCCTTGTCCCACTGCCATCCCCACTCACCCACAATCACTGCCTGGAAGTTCCTGGGCAGCCTGAGTGGTCAGAAGCCTCTGTGGTGCTGGTAGG